GTTCTGACCAATGAAAGCAAGCATATTGAAAGCCTTCTTCACCACCCTGTCTACCTGTGACTCCACTTTCAAGGAGCTATGAACCTGCACCCCTAGATCTCTTTGTTCTATAACACTCCCCAGGGCCCTACCATTGGCTGTGTAAGTCCTGCCCTGGTTTGATCTACCAAAATGCAACACCTTGCATTAATCTAAATTAAACTCCATCTGCCATTCCTCATCCCACCGGCCCAGTTGATCAAGATCTCGCTGTATTCCCAGATAACCTTCACTGTCCACAATACCACCAATCTTGGTGTCATCCACAAACTTACTTGCTATACCTCCTAAATTCTCATCAAAATCATTTATATAAATGATGAATAACAGTGGACCCAGCACCAATCCCTGTGGCACACCGCTGGTCACAGGCCTCCAGTTTGAAAAACAAGACTCTACCTTCTACCTTCAAATCAATTTTGTATCCAATTTTCTAACTCTTCCTGGATACCTGTCAAAGGCCTTGCTAAAGTCCACATAGACAATGTCTACCGCACGTCCTCATATACTTCCTTGGTCACCTCTTCAGAAAAGTCCAATCAAATTTGTGAGCCCCAATTTCCCATGCACAAAGCCTTGCTGACTCACAAATGATTCCTTGTGTCTCCAAATACCTATAGATCCTGTCTCTCAGAATCACCTCTAACAATTTACCCACTACAGACATTATGCTGACCAGTCTATGGTTCCCAGGCATTTCCCTGCGGCCTTTCTTAAATAATGGCACAACACTAGCAACCCTCCAATCTTCGAGCACCTCACCCATGGCTGTCAATGATCCAAATATCTCCTGTGGTTGGTTGGCTCGCTGAACTGGTTCATTGTTGTTCTGTAGATGTTTCATTACCCTGCTGGGTAACATCATCAGTGCAGCCTCCAATGAAGCGCCGTTGTGTTTTCCCCCCTGGTTTTTAACCTCTGGAGTCCGTTGAGCTGGATCACCTCACTTCCGGTTTTCCTTCGCAGTGGTTTATAATGGGGTCGAGTTCTATGTGTTTGTTGATGGTGATGATGATGATGTTACCCAGCAGGTTAATGAAACGTCTGCGGAACAACAATGAACCAGCTCAGTGAGCCAACCAACCACAATGTCCACAACCCAAGCTACAAATCTACTCCAAAACCTTAGAGATCCAAATATCTCTGCTAGGTGCCCCGCAATTTCCTCCCTAGTCTCCCAGAAAGTCCTGGATGCACTTCATCAGATCCTGGGGATTTATCTACCTTAATGCATTTTAAGACTTCCAGCATATCACCTCTTAGGTAATGTGGACTCTCTTCAAGACACCAATATTTATTTTCCCAAGTTCCCTAGCATCTGTGCTACAATTGAGTGCCAACTTCTCAAGAGGCCAATTCATTTTTGAGCTGTTATATCAGCAGTAAGGTTAATAGGAGTTACAATTACCAGAAGGTTGTGCCTAATATTGGCTTTTCCCCACAGGTAGCCTAAAGGGAACAAGCCACGTAAAATGCTGTTGTATTGTAGCTGTCACAATCTGAACTTGCCATAGTTCTCTTGGACCATGGGTTTCTCTTTCATTGAAGTGAGATGGCTGATAGTAGTTTAACCTATGGGTCACCACTCCCCAGGCAATGGGAGCAGTTGAGAATGAGGTTCCTTTGTGGTAAATTCAGCAGTAATGTTATGGGAGATTAGTGAGTATTTTTTCGCTTAGATGGCATGTGAAAGTTGTGGAGTTTACAGTTCTCTTTCCATCACTGACTGTACAATTGGCTCTAGGCTGTTCTCTAAGTATTTAAAAACTGCATAATGATTATCTATGTGGCTGGTTGGACTTCAACAATATCAGCGAATTCTTGAAGCAAGATTCTGAAAAGATTAGTATTTAAACTGGCAGCCTGAAGAGGTATAAATTCTTCCAGATGCTGAAAATTATATTTTTTACTATTGAAAAAATATCTCTTGAATCATATGCATTCCATTCACAAAATACAAGACCCTATGCACTATTTCTGCTAGAACAATTAAAGAAGATACAATATACAGGCCAACACGGTTTGGTCAGTTTTTTCCAAGCCATGTCCTGTTTCTAGTACTGTGTAAGCACGTGTACATTTTGTCAGAAGGGTCGCTGTTGTATATGGGTGTGAAAAGATTAATAATTGATACAGTGCAGTAAACACCACCCATTATTGTGATGCCATGGGGACTTGATCAGAGTAAAGAAGGAGCTGGCAGGAGACAGACCTGAGGCTAGTTTGCTCTTAACACACTCTGTACTAATGTTGGTCATATTTGTTAATCTGTAAATGGTTACAGTAATGTCCTAAACTTCCTATTGTTTGCTCAATAAGACCAAAGTTAGACTGAAATGATGACTATCCTCATGCACACTGTAGCACTTAAAATCATAGAATCCCTATTGTGTGGAAACAGGCCATTTGGCCCATCAAGTCATCACCGACCCTCCAAAAAGCATCCAACCCAGACCCACACTCCTATCCTATAATCCTGCATTTCCAATGGCTAACCCACCTAGCCTGCACATCCCTGCACACCACAGGCAATTTAGCATGGCCAATTCACCTAACCTGCACTTCTTTGGACAGCGGAAGGAAACTGGAGCACCCCTAGGAAACACATGCAGGCACAGGGAGAATGTGCAAAGTCCACACAGACAGTCACCTGACACTGGAATCAAACCTGGGTCCCTGGTGCTGTGAGGCAGCAGTGATAACCACTGAGCCTCTACACCATCACTTTAGGTTCAACGGAACCCAGACATAGAACAGTGAGAATCAGAAGCTGGAACACTGGCTCATTTTTCCCGATTCTTCACTGGATACTAAATGTAACATCAAATTTGTTTCTCCAGCTCTGCAGCGACAAAAGATTGCATTTCAGAGATGGTTAGTGCGGTTCAATAATACTTTGAAACAGCAAAGTACTACACAGCCAATTAAGTGTTTCTGAACCAGGGTCAACGAGATGTGATGGCCAGTTGGTGCACAGCAAGGTTCCACAATGATGAAGACAGTAGCTGAATAGATTTAGTAGTGTTACTTGATATATGCTGGCCTAGGGAAATTTGCTAGTTGTCTTCAAAATGTACTATAGGATTTTTCATATCCCCCTAAGAGCGTAAATGTCTCATCCAGAAGACCAAGGTGTCAGTAATGCATTAGCCTAGATTACATGCATAAACTGAAGTTTGAATCCACAAAGTTTTGAATTAGAGAGGGGCAGCACGGCTACAGAGTCAAGGCAGCTACCTTAAAATCACATTGGGTAGTTCATTTACCATTTTGCGACTTCATGTTAACGATTTTAACATTTTTTGGTAGTATAAATGGTTCAGTATGAGACTCTGATAATCATTTAAAACAAGAAACCATTCAAACGTTACAAAAATCTGCTAATACAATAATTAATAATACAAAAATTATTTGAAAATAACTTGAAGACTGGGTCAGTTTCCGTCAGATGTGTGTGCATCTGTTTGATAAGTTTGAGTTTTATTTTGCTGGGTTTACTTTAGTGCAGCTATCTGCAGTTGTCAAAATTGGAAAGCAGTTGATTCTAGTCCTTGCAGCTGATGGTCTCACTCCTCCAATCTTGACAATTAATTGCACAATTTCCAGTCCCTGTCGTTGAAATGAGCTCTTACTGTCAGGAAGCTTTTTCTATAATGGAAAGTTTCAAAAACAGCTTTGTGCTTAAAATTTGCTCCAGATATTTTGTAGTTCCTGATGCAGTTAAACTGGAGGTGTTTGAGTTATTGTGTTGCAGACACATACTGACATATTAATTGGGACAAGAAGAATGACTAATGAGAAGTCATTGAACAAGCACAAGAATAGAGTCAAATCATGGGCTGATTATGATGCAAAGTATACACTGTGGGCACAATACTGCAAGCAAAGTTGTAACTTCATGGGGTTCACACAATTCACCTGTGTAAAGACTGGAAAGTATGAAATGTACCTGTCACCAGCCTCCTGAGTGTAGAAGATAGAATGAGCTCACTTCATAGATATTCTCTTCTCTCTAGGTTGGTGACAATGCCTCTAATACTTTAGAGATAACAGCCTCTGCAGTTACACCTGCCCATACTATCAATCAGCTAGCTTAAAATAGAAGAGAATAGAAAGGAAATTATGTCAAGCACAATTGCATTAAAAGGGTTCCAGTGTGCAAGGGTTTTTGGTTCAAAGAATCTTTGATATGCTCAAGATTATATCGGGTTATCACATCCCTTTACACAACATTTGGAATACTTTCAGATAAATTAATAGCTTGAAGTTTTGTTTCTAATTTAGGGCCCAATATTGCAAAAGCTACGTTAGTAATTTGATACAAAATAAGGTACATTTTGATAAAGCAAATCAGCGCAAAATGGTGTACCAATTAGGCTACAAAAGAATTGCATAGATAAGTATGCTGTTGAAACTCACACCATGTGTGTGAACCAGCTTGGTTTGATTCTTTTTAAAGGAAGACTCAGAAAGGAGAATGTCACTGGGACAAGAGACTGGTGTGCCTACTCACTCAGCTTATTTTGTCACCTAACAGGCAATTTGTAAAAAATGGCATAAATCAGTTAAATAATATACCTTTGGCTAGTTATGTTCCATTTTTCCCAGGTTGTGGAGAGACTCTTTCAACTTTAGTAGCACACAAAGTCATAAAGATTTTCCCTATTTAAAAGGAGCACTTCTTTTCTTTCTTCATTACACTGGTGGAAGGAGTGGAAAGAGTCCTTGGATTTGGCACTCCCTGGTATGCTGTCCAATTTTTCAATCTTCATGCATACATGTCAGCAGTAAATATTCACTGGCTGTTTGAGCACGTTGCCCATCACAGTAAAGCCTCATGCTCTCTCCAAGTGTACTGGACTTTTATAAAATACCATAGCCTTCTTTCAAAATGATGCAGCCTCTTATTTACCAGAAGATTCAAAATCCAATTTGACAAGTGTTCTGCGTTTTGTTTTCAGAGTGAGACTGAAAGCAGCCCTGACTCATGATCAGCTTGGAAAAATCCTGCTGCAATGAGATGCTACTGGAAACGATCAGTGACGACGGTTGGTTCCTTCCTGTTTTTTTGTCTTTTGATGTACCTCTGTATGAAGGATGAAGGGAGCATATTGGTAAGTATTCCCTGTGGTACAGTGTGATGGGAGTCCACTTTGCATCAGGTTTTTGGCAAACTTGTTGGTTGTGTGCCAGGTGTGACTCAGTAAGCACTTTCACAACAAGTGACAATGGGGATTTTTCATGTGTGTTCAATTCAACAATTTATACCACCGTGTGGAACAGATCAATGTCTGTCAAGTTCGCCACATTCTTTCATTGATTCCAAACATAAACTTTCCTGTTGACATCTATGTTCTGAAGTCTTTAATTCTAATGATAATCAGAAAGAGCTATTTTCTTCGAGAGGCTGGGGAACTTGACATTATTCACAACGTGGAAAAATGTTCAGATTAAATTTGCCAGTCATCAAAGATATCATTAAAATAACTTGTCTGCAACTCAATACAGAAACAGGACCACCGTCATGTATCTTTAAGTGAAAGCCACTTATTTCTAGCAGCTCCTGATATTACAGATGCAGCAAAATTGCAACTTTATGGAAATATGTACTTTCTCTGTAGCTTATAAACTATCCCCATCAATAGATTGGGTGGGAGGGGAGGTTATAGGGGGATAGGTCTGGGTGGGATGCTCTGCAGGTCGGTGTGGACTTGTTGGGCCAAAAGGCCTGTTTCCACAGTGTAGTGATTCTATGAATAGGGAACTGATTACTTTATCCCTTCCTACCTCAATAATCTCTCGCCATTCATGCCTTTTGTATATCCCTGATTTTAAACTTGCAAACCTGCAACCTCTACCACACAAAGGACAAGGGCAACAGATACATGTGAACACCACCACCTGCAAGTTTGCCTCCAGTCACACACTGTCCTGACTTGGTGACATCCTGACAGACTGATGTCTTCAGTTATGTATGTTCCCATGTCTAAATGGAGCTTTCACTAAGAAAACTCCTATAAAGCCACAAGGACCTTGAAATATAAGAGAAAAATCTATACTTGATAAATAATGAAGACATTTGGCAATGGCTCGTTGGTCTAGGGGTATGATTCTCGCTTTGGGGGTTGTAGATCGCGGATGTGCGAGAGGTCCCTGGTTCAATTCCTGGATCAGCCCTGATGATCGCAGGTTTTCAATTTAAATAGCTAGGAAACGGGATGAGGACCTGAAAAGTGAATATCGGGAGTTAGGACGGAAGCTGAAAGCCAGGACGAGCAGAGTAGTAATCTCAGGATTGCTACCAGTGCCATGGGCTAGTGAGGCAGAAACAGAGAGCAAGTGCAGCTGAACACGTGGCTACAGAGCTGCTGTAGGAGGGAGAGCTTCAGGTTTGTGGATCATTGGGTTACCTTCTGGGGAAGGTGGGACCTGTACAGGAAGGACAGGTTGCACCTGAACTGGAGGGGCACCAATATCCTGGGCAAGGGGTTAGCTAGAGCTCTTCAGGAGGGTTTAAACTAGTTTGGCAGGGGGATGGGAACTGGAGCTACAGATCAGAGGATGGGTTAACCGGTGTAAAGGCAGATAGAGCAAGCAGAGAATCTGTGAGGAAGGATAAGCAGTTGATAGGGCAAAGTGGCAATCAGTGCGACGGGTTGAGGTGGATCTACTTCAGTGCACGAAGTGTCAGGAATAAGGATGATGAATTTAGAGCATAGATCAGTACTTGGAACTACGATGTTGTGGCCATTACAGAGACTTGGATAACACCAGGACAGGAATGGTTGTTGGATGTTCCCGGGTATAGATGTTTCAAAAGAAATAGGGAGGGAGGTAAAAGAGGTGGGGGAGTGGCATTGCTAATCAGGGATGGTATCACAGCTGCAGAAAGGGAGGTTGTGGAGGAGGGTTTGTCTACTGAGTCAGTATGGGTGGAAGGCAGAAACAGGAAAGGAGCAGTCACTTTATTGGGAGTTTTCTATAGACCCCCCAATAGCAACAGAGACTCTGAGGAACAGATTGGGAGGCAGATTTTGGAAAGGTGCAGAAGTAATAGGGTTGTTGTCATGGGTGACTTCAACTTCCCTAATATAGACTGGAACCTCCTAAGTGCAAATAGTTTAGATGGAGCAGATTTTGTCAGGTGTGTCCAGGAAGGATTTCTGACTCAATATGTAGATAGGCCGACTAGAGGGGAGGTCATATTGGATTTGGTGCTCGGCAACGAACCAGGCCAAGTGTTAGATCTCTCGGTGGGAGAGCATTTCGGAGATAGTGATCACAACTCCCTGACCTTTGCTATAGTCATGGAGAGGGATAGGAGCAGACGGTATGGGAAAGTATTTAATTGTAGGAGGGGGAATTATAATGCTATTAGGCAAGAACTACGGAGCACCAATTGGGATCAGATGTTCTCGGGGAAATGCACGACAGAAATGTGGAGGATGTTTAGGGAGCAGTTGCTACAAGTGCTGGATAGGTTTGTCTCACTGAGGCAAGGAAAGGATGGTAAGGTGAAGGAACCTTCGATGACAAAACATGTGGAGCACCTAGTCAAGAGGAAAAAGGAAGTTTACTTAAGGTTGAGGAAGCAAGGATCGGACAGGGCTCTGAAGGTCTACAAGGTAGCCAGGAAGGAAGGACTTAGGACAGGTAGAAGGGGGCATGAGAAAACCTTGGTGGGTAGGGTCAAGGAAAACCCCAAGGCGTTCTATGCTTACGTGAGGAACAAGAGGATGGCCAGAGTGAGGGTAGGGCCAATCAGGGATAGTGGAGGGAACTTGTGCGTGGAGTCAGAAGAGGTAGGGGAAGTCCTTAATGAATACTTTGCTTCAGTATTCACCAGTGAGAGGGACCTTGACGTTTGTGAAGACAGCATGAAACAAGCAGATATGCTGAAACAGGTTGATGTTAGGAAGGAAGATGTGCTAGAAATTTTGAAAAATATGAGGATAGATAAGTCCCCTGGGCCAGATGGGATATACCCAAGGTTGCTACGAGAAGTGATGGAAGAGATTGCTGCCCCTTTGGCAATGATCTTTGGGTCCTCACTGTCCACTGGAGTAGGACCAGAAGATTGGAGGGTGTTAAATGTCATTCCTTTGTTCAAGAAAGGGGATAGGGATAATCCTGGAAGTTACAGACTGGTCAGTCTTACTTCTGTGGTGGGCAAATTATTTGAGAGGATTCTGAGAGATAGTATTTATGATTATTTGGAAAAGCACAGTTTGATTAGAAATAGTCAGCATGGCTTTGTGAGGGGCAGGTCATGCCTCACAAGCCTTATTGAATTCTTTGAGGATGTGACAAAACACATCGATAAAGGTAGAGCAGTGGATGTGGTGTATATGGATTTTAGCAAAGCATTCGATAAGGCTCCACGTGGTAGGCTCTTTCAGAAAGTAAGGAGGCATGGCATTCAGGGAAATTTGGCTGTTTGGATACAAAACTGGCTGTCCAATAGAAGTCAGAGGATGGTAGTAGATGGAAAGTATTCAGACTGGAGCTTGGTGACCAGTGATGTTCCGCAGGGATCTGTTCTGGGGCCACTGCTCTTTGTGATCTTTATAAATGACTTGGATGAGGAAGTGGAAGGGTGGGTTAGTAAGTCTACTGATGACATGAAGGTTGGTGGAGTTGTGGATAGTGTGGAGGGCTGTTGTAGGTTGCAGTGGGACATTGACAGGATGCAGAGCTGGGCAAAGAAGTGGCAGATGGAATTCAACCCAGAAAAGTGTGAAGTGATTCATTTTGGAAGGTCGAATTTGAATGCAGAATACAGGGTTAATGGCAGGATTCTCGGCAGTGTGGAGGAACAGAGGGATCTTGGGGTCCACATCCATAGATCCCTCAAAGTCGCTACCCAAGTTATAAAGAAGGCGTATGGTGTGTTGGCTTTCATTGGCAGGGGAATTGAGTTTAAGATCCGCGAGGTTATGCTGCAGCCCCATTAAAACTCTGGTTAGACCACACTTGGAATATTGTGCTAAGTTCTGGTCGCCTCATTATAGGAAAGATGTGGAAGCTTTAGAGAGGAGATTTACCAGGATGCTGCCTGGACTGGAGGGCAGGTCTTAGGAGGAAAGGTTGAGAGAGCTAGGGCTTTTTTCATTGGAGCAAAGAAGGATGAGAGGTGACTTGATAGAGGTGTACAAGATGACGAGAGGCATAGATAGAGTGGATAGTCGGAGACTTTTTCCCAGTGCAAAAGTGACTTTTACGAGGGGGCATAATTTTAAGGTGATTGGAGGAAGGTATAGGGGAGATGTCAGAGGTAGGTTATTCACACAGAGTGGTGGGAGCATGGAATGCGCTGCCGGTGGTGGTTGTGGAGTAAGATAATTTTAGAGACTTTTAAGCGACTCTTGAATAGGCACATGGAGGATAGTAAAATGTAGGGTATGCAGGATAGATTGATCTTAGTAGGATAATAGGTCGGCACAACATCATGGGCCAAAGGGTCTGTACTGTGCTGGACTGTTCTATGTTCTATAAATTAATAATACAGGCAATTGTTTCCAAATTGTACTTTCCCTTGAGTTCACATTCATGTAATCTTTCATCGTGGCTTTAAGAAACGCCTGTGGCGTAAAATAGGGTCCCAAGACTCAAAACAAGTAGAAGGCAAAACTTCTAGAATGTAATCTTAAGGTGTATTTTCAATATGTCACTGTTCCTTCAGTATTGCTGGTCAAAATCATGGAACTCCCTCTCTAACAGTATTGTGGGTCTACCTAACCAAATGGGCTGCAGTGGTTCAAGAAGGCAGTTCACTAGCAATAATATTGACCCAGACATTGATGTCCACATCCCAGCAGTGAGCAAAATATTTATATATTATACAGTGTGTGTATCTGTAATAGAGCTATGAATCAATGTTGTGTTCATGGAAAGATGTTGGTACTATGGTGTTTACGACAGAGTGAACATTTAAGCATTTTCTTCAGGTCAGAGAATCTAGGTTTGTGTGAGTCTTTTTAAAAATTCAGTTCAAAATTTACCAGTGTAGAGTTTAGAAGCAAGATGAGCTCATCTAGAAGGATTCAGGGTAGTTAATTCGGGAGTAAGTTACCTCAACAGAAGGGTTTAATTTGTGAAACGTCCAAGCTAAGACAATCTAGTTGCAAAATCTATCAGAACTGAGAAAGCTCAGGGTTTCAGATTTGTGAAATTTGGAAAGGATTCATCAAGTTGTCTTCGCAGTGCACAGGAAAGAACCTGGGCAAAAGTCATTTAAGTAGACCCCTAAAGTGTTGAGATGTGATGTAATCTCCCTCTGGACTTGAAAGTATTTCATGGATAGTATTGGAAGATAGATTGATACTTTATTTTGCTATGTATTTTGATATCATTCTAACTTCTATTTATTTAGTTAACTTGTTTGTTTTAATTTATGTTGTTTAATAAACTTATCGTGTTAGAGAAAATCTGTAGCCTCATCTGAATATATCTTGGTGACTAGTCATCGTGCTAATGAACCACCCAAACCCAATATGATCTAATCTATCAAGCCACATTTAATTCTGGGATCTGACTTGTCTAGTAATTCCATCAGTTGGGATTATATCTCAATGTACAGGATGGTTTTGAAGTGTTGTCACTGTTACAGGTGGAAGGTAGAACCAAAAGCAAATTACAAAATGGTGTAAAAATGTATTTCTTGTCATATTGTGACTGAGGCACAGGAGGAAATTCATGTTCAGCAATTACTGTCAATTTGTATTAACTTGGTCCCTCTGGTGGATGGTATTCTCCCTGCAATGATGATATAAATTGCCAAAGGCAAACAGATGAAAGAACAAAGCTATGTGTCTCACTTTTACAGTGATTTCCAAATTACTTTTTTTAAAAATTCTTCTTTCATGGAATTTGAGCATCTCTGAGAAGACTAGCATTAATTGCCCATCCTTAATTGTCCTTGAGAAAGTGATGGTGAGTAACCTTCTTTGAACAGCTGCAGTCTAAGTGGTATTTGTGCACTGCTCTGCTATTGGGGAGGGAATTGCAGGTTTCTGGCACTGGAATAGTGATGCAGTTCCAAGTCAAGATCATGTGGGACTTGGAGAGGACTTTTCATGTGGTGTTCCCAAAAATCTGTTGCCTCTTTCTTTGAGATGATAGTTTGTAGGTTTGAAAGGCACTGTCAAAGGAGCCTTGATGAATTACTGCACTGTATCTTGTAGATGGCACACATTACTGCTGCAGTATTGGTGATGGAGAGAGGGAATGCGGTGCCAATCAAATAGGCTGCTTTGTCCTGGACGGTGTCTCAAGCCTTTGTGGCTTGTTGGAGTTTCACCCATCCAGACAAGTGGAAAATATTCCATCACACTCCTAACTTGCATCTTACAGATGCTGATCAGGCTTTGGGAAGTCATATGGTGAGTTCCTTACGATAGAATGCGCAGCCCCTGATGTGATGTTGCAGCCAGAGTAATCATATGTTTGGTCCAGTTCGTTTTTTGAGCAGTGGTAATCCGCAGGATACTGGATGTTTATTTTAAGTCTTGTCATCTTGAATTTTTAACTCAGCCATCAATGAATGAATCCTGCTCTCTATACAGGAAGGTCATTCACTTCTATAATACTTTACCAGACTTGCCAGTCAAATGTGATAATGAGCCAGATATATTATTTTGTTCATGGATGATGATAGAATCCTGAAACTGGGCATAATTGCAGGGTCGCACGGTGGCTCAGTGGTTAGCACTGCTGCCTCACAGGGCCAGGGACCCGGGTTCAATTCTACTCTTGGGCGACTGTCTGTGTCTGCATGGGTTTCCTTCAGGTGCTCTGGTTTCCTCCCACAGTCCAAACATGTTCAGACGAGGTGGATTGGCCATGCTAAATTGCCTATAGTGTCCAGGGATGTGTAGAGTAAGGGATGGGTCTGGGTGGAATGCACTGAGGGTCGGACTGGACTTGTTAGGCCGAAGGGCCTGTTTCCACACAGTAGGGATTCTATGATTCATAACTAAGTTCTGACACTTCATTGCATTGATAAGAGGGTGCTGCATTGTCTGAGGTGTCATCTTTCAGTCGCAATGCTAAACTAGAGCCTTATCCTTGGTCAGGTAGTTACCGAAAATCCATAATATTGCTTTTCATTCAACTATTGCTATCAAGAAAGAAACATCAATTTGTCATTGATCTCATTTTATGGTTATGGAACCAATTTTGCTCAAGTGGGATGTTTTGACCTGGATGGTATTGAGTATCTTAGTAGGTGCATATACACCATATTGGTCTTATTTCCTGGTTAAAACTATGTTGTTTGTTCATTGGCTGCCATTTTTGCCCATTGTTACTCTTCAAAAGTAGTGAATTGGACATATAGTTGAAGGGCACAAGGGGCTTGTTGCAAATATTGAGTGGACCACGGATATTCGTGCAGATTCATCCTGTGAGCAGATGCTGTGACTCTGACTCCAGTTCTCACTACCCATATCAACCCAGAGGTAGTGCAATTCAAGGCATATGACACTACCAATCAGTACCCATAAACTTGCACGACCCTGTTCAAATATTTCTCAAATCTTTTCATAGGCAGGGCCGATGAACATAGAATCCCTAGAGTGTGGAAGCAGGCTAGTTGGCCCATCAAGTCCACTCTGACCCTCCAAACAGTATCCCACCCTATCCCTGTAACCCAAACATTTCCCATAGCTAATCTATCCAGCCTGTGCATCTTGGGACACTGTGGGCAATTTAGCATGGCTAATCCACCCAACCTGCACATCTTTGGACTATGGGAGGAAACCCACGCAGACAGCGGGTGAATGTACAAACTCCACACAGATCGTTGCCTGAACCTGGAATTGAACCCGGGTCCCTGGCACTTTGCAGCAGCAATGCTAACCACTGAGCCACTGTGCCACCCTTACTCTCAAGTAAAATTAATTTAATGCCAAATCAAGCAACTGTTTTATTTTGCAGTATGCTTATCCCTGAACTAAGATAGCAATTGCACACTTTCTTTCCCTCAACACTTGATCTGACTGCACTAAACAACAAGACGTTCCAGTACAGTAGACAGAATGTTCACTTTAAATATTACTGTATTTTAATACCGAGCTCTTCCCTATCGCCATTATTAAACCAGGACTAAATATGAACAATGCTTCTCATCTATAGTTTTTAAAATTATTGCCATAGGTGGAATTCTTCAAGTTGCCATGGCAACTGCACCATTGAGTATAAATCAATTGAACTAACTCAATCAGAATGGGTGTGAATGATTATTGAAATATTCTAACCACTTGCCATACGCTCAGCCATGCTATTCTATAAATTGAATCCATTGAGAGCAACATTTAACTCAATAACTGTATTTTGAATATAAATTACAGCAAGCCCACTCCCATGTTCCCACCTTTATCCCTTTATAAATGCATTTTGAAATGTCTAAAATGTGAGTACTTTGTAAATGAAAAACATGCATTTATATGGGCATGCTGGAAAACACTGGGTGGCGGGGAGAAATCCCTGTCAATTCACATTAAAACATGATTGCCATAAAGAGAGTTCCTGCAGACGTCGTCTCTTAGTTGTTTTGACCATGACACCTTCATACATAAAATAAATATTTCTGCATTTTTAAAAATATAGAACAAGATGGTTAACTTGTCCATTGTCGAGCACCCCTACTTTAAAGAGTCTTTTCACTCCGGATGTGTGAAAATGCTAAGATTGCTAGATGGACTTGTAAAGCAGGGATTACTAAAGAATATGTCTTTAGTAATTATCTGATTTTTTTTATTGGAAGTGCAGTTTATGGTTGTTTACATTTGTCTTTCAGGAAGAAGAAGAAAAGAGATTGGCCAAAGAAATAGCTGTACAACAGTTGTATTCAGAGAGGAATGTGCAGAACTTCAGGGAGCTGATAAACTTTTCTGCACCTATTAATGTCACCTATCAATATTTAGTAGGTTATCCATTACTGAAAAAGAGTAAGTTAAAGTTTTTCGTGTGTCTGTGTCTGTGTCTGTGTGTGTGTGTCTGTGTGTGTTAGCCATAAAATGAAGGAATTGCAATTAAGGGTTAACTTTCTTGGTCTAAAGTCTCCTAAATCTGGAACTATTATCTGAAATGCAATTAGAGTTTCAAGTTAATAAAAATTACAAGCATAAAAAAATCCATGCATTTACCTTATTTTTATTGTGAATAAATTTCCACTGGCCCAAAACAAGGAATTCCGGCATTTCTACCCAGCTTGAAGATGTCTTACGCTTCCACATAGATCACAGGTTTACTGCAACATCTTGTTAGTGATGAACACTACTTAAGTTATTACTGCCCAGTAGCACTAAGAAGCAGTTAGCTTCATCCATTGGTCAAACAGTTACTATTAGGATACTGAGAGGTAGACAGGACACTTTTCAGAGACAAAAGTGATAGGCTTTTGGGTTTGTGTGATATACAGTGAAAAATATATGCTGACAACTCATTTTGGATTATTAGTCAAGCTCACATTGTGAAGCATGTGCACACACTGGAAACTACAAAAAAAATACATGGGGCCCTGTTCTGTGTGCAGACAGAAAGAAAATATACACACGCTGTAAGATATCAAGAGCTGCAGATGCTGGAGTCAGGCTCAACACAGTGTGGAGCTGGAGGAACACAGCAGGTCAGGCAGCATCAGAGGAGTAGGAAAGCTAACGTTTCCGGTCAGGACCCTTCTTCAGACTGATACACACACTGTACCTGTTTCAACTCGGCAAAATAGGTGACAGCTACTCTCTGGTTCATTTCTCAGAGCAATGCCATAACCAATCAGTCAACTTGTCCAGTTTAGAATTTAAATGAAGCATTGCAGTTAACTGTCAGTTATCGTCTAGCTTATGGCAATGTCTCTCCCAATCAAAGTCCCCTTTGAATCAGTCAGTACTCTACTCTCCGAAAGTTGTTTTCCCTCTACGTTGGTATTCTTACAAATTGTCCTAATTGAGTGCAAGATGAAAAGCTTTGTCAAGACGTGTCTTTTTTTCAGCAGACTCAAGTTCTGTATTACCAGATGACTAAAGCCAATGTTGTATTGACGTATCATCCCAAAAACCAGTAGGCTGGATGGATGGTTTGTGATGCAGAGTGGTACCAATAGTGTGGGTTCAATTTCTGCACCAGTTGACGTTCCCATGGAGATTCTGCATTCTCAACCTCACTCATCGCCTGAGGTGCAGTGACCCTCGGGTTAAACCATTACAGTCTTCTCTCTCTAATGAGAGAGCAAACCCTATGATTCTCTGGGGCAATAGTGACTTTACCCATATGATTTCTAAATATTTAAATAGACCATAAGCCCAGAATGAATTATGTTACTTAGCTGATTTCATCAGATTCCTTAGTCAAATTATTCTAGTCCTCAATGGCATATTCTGTTGGTGGAGCAATATTATCCTGCCACTGGAAACCAAGTTTTATGCAAGTCACGGGAGAAGATCCAATGACTGAAAGGCATAAAGATTCAACTTGATTATTTATCTGATACCCAGAAATCAATAGTATCCAAGATGGAGCTGATCCAGAAACTAGCTGAAGCACAACCAGAACATTGTGCATTGTAATAATGGCCCTTGTCTGTTCTGCAGAGTGCAGGACTGCCTCATAGCCCTGTAGCAGCCACACGTAGACCCTGGCCAGTGGCTAAATGTTGCCAAGAGAAAGGGTAAAGGGCTGCTCCAGTCACTTCATTTGTGAGTGGTTTCTCACTCTTCCATTCATGAAGACTTGGAGAAATCAATCAGGGAAACACTTCAAATTGCACCAGCCAATCTGCTAAACAGCAGCTAATATTTAACCCATTCTCCTAGAACAGAGAATCGTAAGCTATCTGCAGTGTCTAATAAAAGAAGAGACCCCTCTAGTCACTGACTCGGCAGCCAAGGAAACCAGCTTCGTGCTCCCTCAGTGACAGAGGACAGTGCTCTACCCAATGCCCACTGACCAGGGACAATGTGCCCACTCACACCAAAAGTGAAAGTTGAGGATCAACCTCAAATGCAACTGAGGCTAAGAATCCTGAACTATGGATCACATCACATCAACCTGCTTACAAAGAACAGTCGTAGGAGACGCATTATTGATCCACCTGACACCTTCAGAAGCTGTTGAGTAGAGAACTAAACTAAATGAAGGGTAAATAAAAGGCATTCTTTTCAGCCTCCCCAGGTGGTTTTAACAGA